AAATTTTATTTCAAAATAACACAAAAAGGAAAATCTAGAATTCAAGATTATAATGACCTATAAATAAATAAATTTCATATGAAGTTAAAATAAATCTTAAAAGTTCTAATGAGAAAGAATATTTCCATAAACTAGCTATAAAGTATTATGAACAATCTATTTTCTTAGCTAAACAAATGGATACGGTGATGATCAATCAAAAAACCCTAAAGGATTTGGATATAATAGAATAGTCATTATAGATTGAAATTCTGTGTTCTAAAAGAGCATTTATCTTTGAAGTCTGTTAAAATGACAAAATTGTTTATAGCTTATCAAAAAAAAGCTAATAATGAGTAAGAGACAAGAGGAAATTGTTAACATTCCTGTTAGTAGCTCACAATATAGCAGATTCTTTAAATTTATAGTGTCAAGTATAAATAGATTTTAGTCAGTATAGATTGAAATCAAGCCTGTTCATCAAATCCGATTATGATTTAAAAAAGTTCAACAGTACAAACTATTTTTTTCTTAAATAATAATATATCTTAAATCATATTTTATCCTAACTCAAATAGTCTTTCGTTTATATACACGAATAATAATGGAGAATAAAAAAAAAATTGCTTGAAATTTCAACAAATGATTAAATAATTTATAATAGTGTTGAAAAATTAATTTTAAATTAATTAGATTCAAAACTACATTATAATGTATTACAGTGAAATATAATAGAATATACTTAAGTATGATCCCAACTCGAATAAAAATTTAAACTTTTTTATTTCTTTTACAACAGCATCCTTCATTTTATTTGTTCTATGATTAAAATGTTGTCAATTACTAGAGTTAATAAAATTAATGAAGAAATTGAGTTAACAAAAGTTTCAAAAGCTAAATTTCCCTAATAACTACATTAAAATATTTAAAGAATTATAAGATTTATTAGAAATCTTAAAAAAGTTTTAAATTTTAATTTATGAATATAATTAAAAGAGTGAAAATTTAATTACTTCATTAGTATATACAGAAAAATTACTTCTTAACATGCCTCATTCTCTGTAAAATTTTGAATTATACCAAAAATAAAAGAGCTCTAAGATCGTTCCTGCTAGAAAGGTAATAACTTAAATAGGAAATAAAAATTAAAGAATAAATGTTTCAAAAAATTAGAAGAGCTTCAAAAATTAATCTCAGTAAAAGCCTTTCTTTCTTGATATATATAGAAATAAGGTTAAAAGGTGGAAGATAAACGATGAAATTTCACTTGATGTAACTGATATTTTATTAAATGATGTTCCTAAATAATTTTTTACAATCGATTTAGATTGGGAAGCAAGTTAACCTTGGGTAGAGAATATGAGAATATCTTCTTTGAAAAAAGAAATAGAAGGTTTTAAGTTAACCTATCTTCACTTTTAGAATTTAGATAATTTAGATGATTTAGATATTTTGGATCTGGTTTTTGGTTCTGGATATGTTTCTTTATTGTTATTTACACTAGCACTAAAAAGGAAACAGATGTTATAAATTCAATTTCATTTAGTTGATCATCATCATCATGCTATCAAATTTTTGACTGAAATTAAATACAGAATTTTTGCATTTAAATAAAATGTGTAACATTTAATACTATTTACATGATTGCTTTGATGGACTTAACTTGTTTTAAGATAAAAAATTTAACTTTATACATCTAGGCTACGCGACAACTAAATGGAGAATAAATAAAGATATTATTCCATTACTTTCAGAAGATGGATTGATTTTTGGTTATGAAATAGTCAGTAGTTTAGAATAAAAAGCGTTTTCATGGAGTTAAACTCAAAAATAAATGGTTTATTCTTAAAATTTAGAATAATATGGAATTATGGAACCACTTACAATACAATTAAAAGGAATTGATTAGTCTATTTTAGAAAATTAAATTAAGTAGAAATTAGATATTTTAAAATATATAAAGTTGTATGATTAATGTGGTTTATGTGAAAAATAGCTGACTAAAGAAGATAAGTAATTTATTAATCATTACTGGGGGGAAGGCTTATGCATGTCTTGTGCAAATGAGCAATTAGAATAATAGGGCGAAGAAATTGATATAGCCAAAATTAATTATAGATCTAACATAATCTACTACACAGGCAGTAATTGCAAATTATCATAGATAAAGCAAACTTCTATTTTGTTAGAAAACTTAACTTACCCATTTGGTCATAAAGTGGGAACAATTAGAGAGTATTCAAATGTTTGTTCATCTTGTAATTCTAAAAGAGGATTTGGATTTTTATACAAATGTTTAATCTGTGATTCTGTACAATATTGCAACACTTGTGGATTATAATTAATGAGAGATAATCAAATGAAGTATCATTCTGCTTGTAGTCAAGATCATCCTCTATTAAGAATAGTTTTTCCATAGAAGACACAAAAGGGAAAAAAGTGAATTATAAATTTATTTATAAATTTGTTATTTAGTCGATTTATTTGCTTTCATCACCTCACTCATAGCC